AATTAAGTAAATACAATTGTTCGTTGTTTTAACATTTTCTCTATCCTTATCCTATATTCTAGGCAGCACAAATTTTGATACATGTCTGTTAACGTCTTAAAGATTTATGTTATGGCGTCTTAAAGATATCTTAAAGACGTTTTATGTCCCAGTTTTCAAAAAATTTTAAATAGCATAATGTTTAAAAGCTCATTATCCACGATAACTAATGACAATAATTTTCAACAAGATAAATCCGTCAATAAATTGTTGACATACAAATATTATGTTTCACATATTATATTGTTTTATTATGATTTCATTTGGTTCATTCCAGAAATATATTAAAATTAGAAACAAAAAATAGACTTATATATTAATATATACAGTGATACATCTAAAATCATATATAGAATTTAGCCCAATTTTAAAAATACTTTGGCCGGTATTCATAGTCGGATCTTATATTTAAGACCGTCTTAAGATATCATGAATCAATCAGAAGATCGCACTAGTGACTTAAGACGGTCTTAAAATAAGAACCAACTATGAATACCAGTCTTTATATGCGAAATACTACACGCCTGGTAAAATTTTTCATGTATAAATATGTATAAACATACATAAACATGCATAAATATTCTTAAATATGTATAATTATACATATATGAAATATGTACATGTGCATACATCCTTTTATCTTTTGTGAAATTACTTTTTAGTGTAATAGAAATAATAATAGTAATGTGAAAACAATGAAAATAATTAAAAAGGTAATTTTTGCACTATTTGTTTTAGAAAAAATCAAGTTTGAAAAAATGTAAAAAAATTACTTACATATAATTATATATAAAATTATGTATTATATAATTATGTAGGAGCAACTTTTTTTACATTTTTTTCAAACTTATTTTTTTCTAAAACAAACACTGCAAAAATTATTTTTTTAATTATTTTTCAAATTTTCACATTACTATTATTATTTCTATTACACTAAAAAGTAATTTTACAAAAGAAAGAAGGATGTATGGTCATGTATAAACATATTTCATATATAATTATGCATGTTTATAAATATTCCTGCGTGTTTATGTATGTGTACATATTTATACATATTTATGCATGAACAATTTTTTACCGAGACATCTCTTGATGCCGTTTAAATTCAGCGATCCATAAAATCCTCAACATGGCTGACAGTCACGTGATCGGTAACCACCGACATCAAAGATTACTGTCGCTACTGTATGTAGTTATACTGTGACTCCGTCCCAGTCGCCTCCATATGTCAAATAAAATCGAAAATTGCATTTTTTTCACGGCTACTTTCCTAATTAAACGGTAAAAGATTATGACAATTTTTCACAACATTCATTTCATGTTCCTCCACATGCTCGTTTTTTTTATTAACATATCACTACTAGTTTAGGCTCTGCAAAAATAAACGTGACATTTTCATAAATTTTGTATAGGCTATACAAAATAGTATAAAAAAGTGCAGTTTTTTATGCTTGTATCCCAGTCATTGAAACGGTCAAACGGTTAATCTCATTGTAATTATCACAAGCATGTCAAAGTCTTCTAATACAATATCTTAATTTCAAGAAATTCTGTTTTTATTTCGCGAGTGTAGTACTTTAACAAAAACAAAAATTGTGTTACAGTGTTTTGGAAAGCTCTCGATATCAGCAAAAATATTATGTAATAAAAAGTTGGAGTTTCCATTTAAGATTATTTTTTGACTACATGCTTTAAGATCATCCAAAGCTCAAATCAATATCATCAACCATATATTTTTAAAATTCTGCAATATTTTTCTATTTAAATCAATACTTCATGAGAAAATTAATCTTTCCGAAAGTTTTTTTGCCCCTCATTATATATGCATACTATTGCATATTGAAATATTCTAACAAGGAAACACAACAGAATGTCCCCAGATGTCTTAGCAAAATCGTACAAATCTGTGATTGCTTATGATGCTGACATCTTACTGTAGATTTGTCTTCAGTGATTTCGGATATACTGATTGTAGCAACATGCAAACAACAATGTATGTATATATTGCCGGCAGTTTAACAGCAAGATAGCTGCGTCAATGTTACTTACATTGTTGGCAATATGACAGCATTGTATGATGCAACATGATGGCAATAGTACGAATTTTGATGATGACAATTTTGAAGTTGTCGGCAAACTGCTGGCAAATTGCTACTCAATGTTATTATATCGTGAAGACATCAAGTTGCCAATAAATAAGGACTCAGTTGCTGCAATTCTGGTAGCAACACATATAACATACTCAGCAAGCAACATGCCAGCAACAAGACACATTGCTATCTGGGTTCCCTTCCAATTTTATCAAGCTTTGGATATATTAAAATTAGACAAAAATAAGACACATATTTTTTTGTAAATGCTCAATCGTACGTTAAGGGGGTAAAAGCCTTAAAAAAACTCAATTTTTAAAAACATATGCGCCTCTTATTTTTGTCTATATTTTAATATATCTAAAATTTAATATATCTAAAATTTATTAAAATTGGAGGGGAAAGTTGACTGTATTTTCTAATAAGATCATTCTATAATTTTCGAAAAAAATTTATAAAATCTGAAGTTTAAAATATTTTTTTAGAAATCTTGATACATTCGAAATATGAAAGATTCTTAAAAATATTATAACATACGAGCATTTTTTCACCAAGAAAGAGTGCACGTTTGTCAAGCAAATTAATCGGATACATACGTTATTTCCCTCGTGTGGCTAACATCGACACAAAAGCAATAGAAGAGTGTCAAAAGAATAGGCAGTTTCATTGTTCTATTAGCGTTGTTTGCCAGGGAACTGTTATAAAGCTGTACTCTGCAGTGTTGTTTTGCTCGATAGCGTTAGTCTTCAAGTTGATTGAAGAGATCTCTTTGATGATACAATGGGCACTGATAAAATCTAGTCGAAAAGATAATAGGAAATCAATGAACTTATACCGTAGATAACGAATAAAGATACCAGTATTTCGGTAGACTATAATGTTCTTCCTTCCTATGTTTAATTGAATGCACTACCGCGATAAGAAAAAACGCAGGTCACTAAAGATGACCCTAAGAAATCGTAGAGAGAAATCATCACGCACAATAAATTACTCTTAATCGTCAGTGACGTCTGTATAGATCACAGTCTTATATTCTGTATTTCAGCATATACAATAATGTACTATGTAATTAGAACAGGTTCTAGTATCTGTTTCATTGAAAACGAAAATAACAAGTTGAATGGTAAATAACTCGGGAAAAAATATTTCATATTATATATAATTATACATAATTATATAAAATTATATAATATATATGTTATATACATAATTATATAAAAAATTAACTTATTTTATATACAATTATAATATATATAATATGTATTATATATAAAATTATATATAAAATATGTCCATTTATATAACATTTTTTTCCGGGAATGTATATTTCTCTATTGCTCTTTTTTTTTTGTAAATGTAACGATGTACTAAAAAAGTGCAATTTCATTTTTTATATTTTTTCCTTTAATGGATTTATACATTTTTTTTTATATAAATAAATAATGAATTCTTTTGAACATTCTATATGCAAAAAGATCTTAGAGGAATAATTGAAAAAAGAATATTTCGATCGACGAGATATTTTATATTTTATTTTCATATTTTATTTTATTTTGACATAAAATATTAAATACTACGCTAAAAAATTAAGAGATCACCCATCAAATTTAGTGAGTATTTTACGTACCAAAAATAGGCAATTTTTAAGAGAGTAGTAACTTCATAAAAAATAATCATAATAAAATAATCTAAAAAGCATTAAAGTCTTGAAGTCTCTTTTCTTTTTGATAGTTTAGATAATGATTTGACCAATATTTATAGATTCATACAAATACAAATTAAAATTCAAATCTTAGAATTGTTTATGAACTTTCCAAAATTCTATAATATGAATTAAAAATAGCAGCTTTCTTAAAAAGTGACTCTTTATCTTTAATTTTCGTATTTGTTTATTTTACCAAATTATTTACCCAGTAAACGAGAATGAATTAAAATGGATTAAAATTTTTTTAATACGTACTTTAAATCTATGAAAATGGAATGAAATGGATTGGATCCGAGTTGAGTTTAATATTCGAAAAAAAAAAAAATATTCATATTTAAGGGTTACAAATTTTATTCCTAAGACATTTATAATAATTACACCTGAAATTAACTACTTAAAATTATTATTAAAAAACGCACCTTAGTGGGATATGAACCTGGGACCTCTCGATTATGACTCTTCTATGTTATCCTACATCACTTCTTTAATTGGTAAATGTGTTATTCATTCTCTCTATTTCAATTACAACCAGCTAAACTAGTAACGAAATTATATAGATATAATAAAAATATCATCATTTAACAGATATAATAAAATATAAACAATTTATATTAATATGAGACAACATTGGGAAAGTGTCGGATAATCTAATCTCGCTTGGCCGATGTCGCACGCCGTGATTAGCCTAATATTCGAGTTATGTTCAACTTGGTATGCGAGTGTTATCGATCATTCATTTTACTCAAAGAGAAAGAAAACATAGCTTAATTATTTTTATGTTACAATTTTTTTAATTTACTTGGATTAAAACAAAAAATTTTCTACTTATAATTTTGAATAATTTAAATAGCAATTATGGGCCATTTTTAAATACAAACTTTTTTTATTCAATTAGATTGAAAAACTGCATTTTATATTCAAAATATTGAATTGAGCAGTATTCACGTTGCACAGAAATTACTGATATTAATTTTGAATTTAACTGAATTAAAAAAAACTGTACTTTACAATTCTAAATTGAGTAGTATTCGCGATACAGAAAATGCTATTATTTTTAGATTGAAAGGCATAGACATATATACTCTATGCAATTCCTATAAATGAATAAAAATGCATTCTTGAAAAGGATTCATTTTAACATTTATGAATCCGTATTTCTGAAAATCTGAATCCATTTTAATCCATTTCTATTCTCGTTTACTGGGTAACATTATAACAAAAACATCTTTTTGATTTTGATAACAGAAAACAAAATATTGCTCGATATTCTTTTAAAAATGAATAGAAAGATTTAAGTTTTTTCTTTAAAATGCACATATATCATTTTTTAGATAAAAAGAAACTTTTTTGTAAATTTTGCTTATAAATAATTTACAAAAAATGAAATAATTGACGCATTGGCTTTGTTTAGCAGAAAGAGTAGCTATACAAATACTAATTACAAAATTTTTTAATATATAAATTATTTCTTGCTCTCATTCTTCCGCACTATCTAAAATATTTAATTGTCTATGTTGTCTATCTATCCCGGTAAAAAATTTTCTAAGCATAAATATGTATAAATATCTATGTATAAATATAAATAAACATACATAAACACGCATAAATATTCATAAATATGTATAATTATATATAATTATATATGAAGTATGTTATATATGAAATGACATATTCATACATCCTTCTTTCTTTTATAAAATTACTTTTTAGTGTAATAGAAATAATAATAATGTGAAAACAATAAAAATAATTAAAAAGGTAATTCTCGCACTATTTATTTTAGAAAAAATCAAATTTGAAAAAATGTAAAAAAATTACTTACGTATAATTATATATAAAATTATGTATAATTATGTATGAGCAACTTTTTTTACATTTTTTTCAAACTTATTTTTTTCTAAAACAAACTGCAAAAATTATATTTTTAATTATTTTTCAAATTTTCAAATTTACTATTATTATTTCTATTACACTAAAAAGTAATTTTACAAAAGAAAGAAGGATGTATGAACATGCATGAACATATTTCATATATGATTATACATGTTTATGAATATTTCTGCGTGTTTATGTATGTTTATATATATTTGTACATATTCATGCATGAAAAATTTTTTACTGGGAACGATAATCGTTTTTAGGTTACTAGCGTTTGTTAGAGAGAGCGAAGTATAAATTTATATTATATGTTTTGTTTTTACCGTTTGTAATATTTTCAACATTGATAATGATCCGATCGCAATTGGAACGTCTGTTTATTGCTAGCACATATATTAAATCAACTAAAGAATTGTTTCTTTTACTTATGTTCAAACTTCTATATTAATGATGTTTAATTTTATAAAATAATTTTTGGTTTATAGCCCTTTTTCTTTATTGTTTTTTAAATTGTATGAGTCTTATTACTAATAGACAAATTAAATTAAATTGACAAGCATATTTTAATAATTTTGATGTTCAATCCGGTATCATATTAGAAAATTGTTAATATGCTGAAAAGCTGTAAATAAATTTATTGCGAAAAATATTCCCTCGCGGCTGAGAGAATATTACCTCTGTAATCTAAAGGCTTAGGAAATAGGACGCTCATAAGGAATATAAGAGATAAGTAACAAATCAAAGGACTCTTTCTATACAAACCAAATAATAATAAGTAACGGGCAAAGTAAGAGTCAACACGTTTCTTTGAAATTAACAAAAGAATATATTTCAATTAACAAAGATAAAATTACATAACGTTACAAGTTTCGGCTACCGGATTGAGCCCTCTTCAGACATTAACATAACGAAAAAATTGCAGAACAAAATCAATCACAAATAATCGCATATTCATAACACTTATAGTTCGGGTGAGTCTTGATGTAGAGTTCGACATTATTTCCGTACGATTGAACTGTCAAATGTATTAAAAAAACCTTGGCAAAGCTCTAGTTGATAAAAAGAAAAACTTAAAAACTTTACACAAAAAGATCTATGCGTAAATGAATTAACATACCGGAAATCTAATAAAAATAATATAAAATAAATAATAATGAATATAATCAAAACTCACCAGAAATCATGTGTAAAAAAATTCAAACGAATGTGTCTAAAACGGAATAAAAAACTTTCGGAATATACAGAAAGAAAGAACGCAGATGTGTAAGACAGACATTACGCGTCGGCCACTATGTACGATCAGTAGTGCGGATCAAAACAGACTGAGAGAGGAAATGGACTGTTAGTATCAAAAAGTCAAACTTTATTTATGATGGGAATATAAGCCTTGTGGAGGCCATCGGTGTCAGTTTGTAAATTGAGACCATTCTTCTGCTTCCTGATATTAAGCATCTCGGAAACCAAACGTCTCCGATAACAAGGCTCTTCGTCTAAAATTACGACTTCGTCCTATTGGAATTCGTGATCCAGTCATCTCCTATGCTCAGTTATAACAGAACGCCCAGAAGTGTTGTATCTAGTGTGATGTTTAGCAATCCTGGTTTTTAATTTTCTGCTCGTCTGTCCCACGTATGAAACTTGTAACGTTGTGTAATTTTACCTTTGTTAATTGAAATATATTCTTTTGTTAATTTCAAAGAAACGTGTTGACTCTTAGAGTGCCCGTTACTTATTATTATTTGGAATACGTAGGCTGCTAAAAAAGTTTCTGCAATCTAGTACTTCCAGTGGCGCCAACGTTCTGCTATCATATCCGTAAAATTAGACGTTTTTAACCTATAATTCAATTGACAGTTTGTACCCAAGCCAACTAGTTTTGTTTGCATAGTATTTTAGAAGAAGTTATTTTGTAAAAAAATGAAAATTTCGCGAGAAAATTTTCAGGCAATGATTTTTTACAATTACAAATGTAATCTAACTCCGAAACAATGCATCGATCGACTTCATTTGGCTTTTGGGGATGAAGCACCATCCCATAGGACTGTTTATAATTGGTTTGCCGAATTCCAGCGTGGATGTATCTTTCTTAGTGATGAATTCCGTGAAGGTCGTCCATCCACGTCTGTTGTTGCCACTAATGTTAATGCTGTGCGTGAAATGATTGAGCGAGACCGGCATACCACGAAATTCAGGCATCCTTAGGCATTGACATGA